TGAGGTGAGTACTGTGGATGTGGTCGAATATTACATACAGTGGGGTCATGATAGCTTGAACTCAGAAGTCAACTGCCAGTTAATAGACTTTTATGCCGTATGAATCTACGTTGCCCAGGATGCACCACGTGGAGGTAAGTCTATCGCACCCCCCCCCCAATAAATTAATGAACACCACCAGTGTTTACAATTTATGCTAATTTTGGACAAGGCAAATTAGGCACGGTTGAACGTTTGAGGAAAAAATTGACGTTTTAGAGACCTCCTCGAAATGACTTCACCAAATGACTAAAGATTTGAATTTGTTTCGAACGTTGTCAAGATTACCTAAATTGAAGTAGGGATGAGGGTATGATAGTTGTAGTATTCAAGTTAAGTGAGTCAGTTTAGACATCATATTTGCATAAAAAGGGAAATCACTACTGGGAAACACCCATTGCACTAATCGAATTTATCAAGGTAAGAGAGTGAAATGGGTAGTTTCATTGAAATGAGCTAATTTTTCGTATTTTAGCTCTCAAAAATTGGATCAAAGCAGAGTCTTGCTTTCTAAGTCATATAGGATTTTTTTCATACATTAGTAAGTAAGATTGCCGAACTGGGTGAATTAAGCCAAGAATTCGCACGTCTACAGAAGGTTAAAACTCGGTGAAATTGTGAAATGAGAATGGCTGTTCAGATAGGAATTATTGAACAATCCTGTCTCATTGAGTCAAAATGGGCATAAAATGCTATTATTAAACCAAGAGCCTGTCAATCTAAAAAGTCACCCAGAGGACTGGCAGCAACAAGAAGGTAAAAAGTTCATTGAACGAAACTAACTAACTTTGTGAAATGAAGGAAAAAAATGTTGTAGAACAATAGGTCAACTCCCACGGTGTCAATTATTCATGAAAGGGAGAGGAACTATCCCAGTTCACCCTTTGCCTATGGCTCTAATCAGTCCAAAAAAAGATCTCAACCAAACAAAACTGTTATGGGCATGGTGATTCATGAAAAGGGAGGATAAGTATCCCACATCATCCATCTCGACAAATTACTTTGCTTATGGCTCTAACTGTTATGGGCATGGCGATAGATTGATGTTCCACTAAAACACCATAACATTAATACAAATTTAGATCATTGTAGGGCTCCTATTCCCCATTGCACCAATATCTCATCTTCCATTATCCATTTTCTCATAAATACGATATCGTTGAAGCCCTAGCATTGCCTCCAAGGCCATCAGCTGATATTTTATTGGTTGCCCAGTCCTGTGACAGCAAAAAGAAGAAATTTGGTTCACGCCAAGTGCTATGGTACACATAAAATATGCAATAGAGCATTTTGTAAAGAAACTTTAATATTACCACCACTATTATTTTAGGTGGTCCGAAACTTTCATCATGGATACATCCTCACAACTCCACTACCGTTGGCTGGGTTTAATATCTCTCACTGTTCTTTACAATTGTATCATTCTGCCAATGCGAACAGCCTTCACAAAGTTCCATGCCCTCTCCCCACCTACCTGGATGTTCTTTGACTACTGCATCGACCTCCTCTACATCCTGGATATCTGGATCGGAAGCAGAACAGGTGGGTTGGACATAAATACCAGCATATCTTCATCACATCACCTGCCCTATTAAGTACATGAGCATAATGCTGGCAGGCATCGAAATTATCCACAATCTCTTTTTTTCGGAGTAACAAAGTCCCCATTACTTGAAGTGAAAACACTCAATCATGCACTATTTACATACATTGGAGAAGTTTAAAATTTGGGGAACACTTTAAGGTGACTTGGTCTCCGTTATTGTAGCAAGCTCTCCATTTTAAATATTGGGCGTTACCTAAGCTTGAGGATAGATGTGCGAGAGAAGTGAGATAGTTGAGTTATTGCAAACGACAGGAGGAAAATGAGAGAGAACAAGGCTCACACCTCATCTCTATTGAGTTATCATCTCCACAGTTGATTAAGAAGTTGAATTTGTGTAAGCTGGCCCACCTTCTTGTTGTGCTCATTAAATCTTAAAAATTCTTTCAACTTTCCATATCTACAAAACAAAAATGGGAGTGACATTGGTAAAGGAGAAGAATACAATTGGCATTGTATTTCACGTTTAGCACAATACTTCTAGTCAACTGCTTGAATTTATATTAAAAGAATATGAGGAGACTTGATGTGCAGATGTTTCACCACTTGTGTAACTGTAGACGTGCCAATGAAGGGCACAAAATTTTGAAGACAATGCTTCCCATTATAGGCTACCTGGAGGAGGGACTGATGGTCACTGACATCAAAAAGCTTCGAAACGCCTACATCAAGAAATCAGACTGTCTCCTAGATGTGTTCTCTGTTCTACCAACAGATCTCCTCTACTTCTCTCAGGCGTTCACTCACTACGCGTCATGGCTGCGGTTGAATAGACTTCTGAAGACCTACAAGGTGTTTGAATTCATTGCACGCACTGAAACTCGAGCCACATTTCCCAACGTCTTCCGAGTAATCACTCTCACTGCTAATATTCTCATTCTTATCCATTTCAATGCTTGCATCTTCTTTGAGGTATCGTCTCAGACCGGTAAGTCGGCGATATTCTATTGGAGGTCTTGAATAGGTACAAGCATATTGAACTGCAAAGCGATATAATTATTTAAGCATAATATGTAAAAGTCAATGCAGTATCGTTGGTCCAGATGACGTGATAGACTTCGACATTGTCACTAGAAACTCCAGTGCTTTTGGCAGTGGTTTCCTGATCGGTTGAAGATGTAATTGCAACACCGATAATTAAATCAAAAGTAATAAAAAATATCGAGATGATCTGATATCGAAAACAAAGGCTAATTCTGTTATGCTCAGTTGACACCTCGTAGAGTTTTATCCGTTCATATTGCTGGAATCTCTTGGGTCAGTCTAATTTTCTGAGATTGTATCGATTCGAAAATCAATAACGCATAGATTAAGCTTAGCTGTTCCGATGAACTTAACTGAAGATATCAATTTAGCTTCATAAACCTGTTTTGAGTTTAATGGTTACCTCCATGTCATTTTTAAAGAAAGAATATAGCATTTAACAATATGAAATCAAACTATCGAATTTCAAGCATTGTGTTGGCTACTAGGACTGTGTGGAAATTCATTCGTTTACCCACCACGTTCAACTGATGATATTACGGATGAGCCTTGCAATATCACCGAGCGCTGGCAATCCATTTTTGCTCAATACACCTACAGTTTCTACTGGTCAACCCTAATTCTCACTACAATCGGTGAAACTCCCAAACCTGTGCGAGATGGCGAATTCATTTTTATCACTATTGATTTTCTGGCAGGCGTGCTCATTTTCGCCACTGTCGTTGGTAATGTCGGTGCTATGATTGCTAATATGAATGCTCAGAAGACAGCCTTCCAGTCACAGATGGATAGTGTTAAGAGGTAAGCTAACTGAAGTTACTCATTTTAGTCACTTATGTCTTAAATATACTTCTCATTTTCTGGGAAAAAAATTAACTAGGAGGTAGGGAGAAAGGGTCATGTTCTATTCTCAAAAGATCCAACCAAAGAACATTGATTATTAGATACGACGCACCTTATATTCCTACTTAGTAGCTTTGTGACACGTATCCTGAAAGCTGCTACAAAGGAAGATTCCAAATGCGCTGTAATTCACAATAGACAAGGACAAACAACGTTCAAAAGTATGTAAATTGAATCACCTAATGATACTAGGGAAGAAAATCTTCAAGCCTCAATTACTTTTTCAAATATAAGGAGTTTTATCACCGCCAAATGTTACTTTCCAGTCGATTGTGAGGGCGGAAGCAAGTTAAGTGGTCTTGAGGTTAAACCCTCTCGACAATAGACTCAAGATATCTTAGTGCTTCATGTGCCTTTTTAAGCCCATACAATTAGATTAGCCCAAATAAAATGCTTTGATAGATAAAAAAATCAGCAAAATAGTTATATCGAATAGGTACATGGAATATCGTAAAGTGAGTAAGAATTTGGAGCAACGTGTGATACAATGGTTCGACTACCTTTGGTCCAACAAGCAATCGCTGGAAGAGGGGAATGTCTTGGAGATTCTGCCGGATAAACTCAAAGCAGAAATCGCTATCCACGTGCACTACGACACACTGAAAAGAGTCAAAATTTTTCAGGTAAATTGAGTTATTTATGAATGAACGCAAATGGTGGGGTGTTTAGGTAAGGTTTGGGGGGGGGGGGAATTTATCGAGAAAACTTCACTTTATTTAAGCTCTCTTCATATCTCTGGCTTCTTCACCGTTTTATTCACCCACATGAGTGCAGCAACTTACCATTTAGAATAAGCTTAGAAAGCTCGTCAAAACCATTGGTGTGGCGATAAAAAATGACTGAATTCGACATTTGGATGATTATCAAAAGGAGATATGACTTTGTTTGGGCAGATTTGGCTCGCATGTAGGAGGACTTGAGCAATCCGATTCATTGATTGTATTCAATTATCACCCTTTGTATGGCTCATTTAATGCCCTGAAAATTTCCGCTTGCACTGAACTCCACTCACCTCCCTTCACCCAATCAACATTAATCTACCTTGCTGCCTAATACTATCCTAGAATTGTGCTAAGAAGTGAAATGGTTGAATCTCATCACTTTGCCGCGCAAAATAAGTGTACAACTAAGCCAAGTCCCTTTCCAACTATCATAATCAAAGCCCTGAGTTAGTTGAGGCCAATAATTTCTACTGAAGCAAAGCAATTTTCTCTCCAGCAGGCAGCACATTGCAAAGTCAAGAACTTTTTCCCTTGACCCTCTTTATCCATTTGCCACTGCTTGACGTTAACTATTGCACATTGTTCTTTAGGACTGTGATCCTGGTCTACTAGTGGAGCTCGTACTCAAACTCAAACTCCAGGTATTTTCACCCGGGGACTACATCTGTCGCAAGGGCGACATTGGAAAGGAGATGTATATCGTTAAACGTGGAAAGATTAGTGTTGTTGCTGACGATGGAAAGACTGTGTTTGTTACCCTCGGTGAGGGAACTGTCTTTGGTGAAATATCCATCCTCAACATTGCAGGTTAGTTACGCATTTATGAGGACAGAGAAGGTTGAACAAAGCAATAAAAACATGCATAAATTAAAATTTACCTGCGCTAGCATTTAAAAATCAATAACATCATGAAGGTGATCTATTCTCAGCGAACAGGACTAAATGGTTTACTGTGATAGATTAGCCCTGTAGCATATCATATGGTCACTTCTTTCCACTTCTGTGCCCTGTGAATCTGAGATCACGTATCTATCCATCTTTCATAAGCTTTGAGCTTATGCGTTCAAGAATTCTACATAGTAAATGCATACTCACACCGTACTTTCTGTAATGTGTATCTTCCCAGAACCGTATCATAAACATGATGAATCTCACTAGAGTTTGGCAACACTACAGCTCATTTGTCTTTCGTTTAAACGCTCATACCTCCTCATTTTAAATAAAATGTAATCTTTGATAAAGGCGGCAAGCAATGATTCAGCAACCATTCGGTAATATGTTAGTTCCCGATGATACACCATCTACTCGTTAAAATAATTCAAGGTCATATCTTCCTTGAAGAGAAAGTGACATATGGGGATTACCGTTGAATAGATTATGGTTAATTAACTATTATTGGCACGATTCAAATGGAGCCTAATGCCGTTAACCTCAATTTGGAATCGGAAATGCTAGTGCTCTCCTTCCTCTAATAGGAAACAAGACTGGAAATAGACGCACTGCCAACGTCCGTTCCGTCGGCTACTCAGATCTCTTTTGCCTCAGCAAAGACGACCTCTGGGAGACTCTAACAGAGTACCCCGAGGCAAGGGAGAAGCTCATGGAAGCGGGCCAGCAGATGTTACGAAAAGACAATCTTCTGGATGAAGAGCTTCTCCGCAAAGCGGAAGAAAGTCGTGAAACCGTTGAAGAGAAAGTGGCTCGAATCGATGCCAACTTGGAGCAGATCAGCACAAAGTTGGCTCGACTTCTGGGTGAATTCGGCTCAAGTCAGGCTAAAATGAAAAGAAGACTAACTCGTTTGGAGAACCAACATTTCGAATCAGCACCAAGCAGCATAAGAACTGAGCGCACATCACATTATAATTTATAACTACTGAATTGTGTTAAAGTAGAACACGCATTAGCAAACATCTCATCATTTCAAAGTTCTTTATTATGTATTGAAAACGATTTCCAATAAGTATTCGTTTTCCCTATGCTTCTTTGGAGAAACTTTTGTGAGTGTGTTCACATAGTTTGGGATCAGTAGGGCGACAATGTTGAAGTAGTCACTTTTGATTTCACTGACCAGACTACATTCAATGCCACCTCAAATTAGGAAGCAAACATGACCTTGTTCAAACTGAAAATTGTTACCTGATTGTCAATAAAATTTGCAAGCCCTATAATCATATATGCCTCTATTAATTTAGCTGACGCTTCAATAAAGAGATTACTTCCACAGGATTCTTATCTTTGGGAGGCATGGAATCAAACACGGTAAATTTTTAAGCCCTAGTGTGGGGCTTTATTGGTAGTTAAGATTGAGAAAAATAACACGTGTGGAGGGAAATTCTTTTCGACGAGGAGATGTGCTGGCCAAAACGATGGAACATTTCGTCACTTTGTCCTAAAAAGGTATTACCATTCTGTCATGCATGAAATAAACGTCACAGATTAATTCTAGGAAATGCACCAACCAATTTAAATCGTATTCAGCATTCCCTTGTGACTACTCAATAAGCTCCAAACGTTATATCAGTCGATTTATTGACAGATTATGAGATTGTGACTTTTATTCGAGACAGAATCACTCAAATCCACGTTTCTGCTGATCTACGATAATTCATAAGATCTAAGTGATTGTGATAAGACAATAAACTCTCTAGTGGACTGGCAGTGAGATTGGCTGATTGATCATGGGCCAGAGTTGGATAGATAGATAGATGAATAAGGGCTAGTGGCAAGTAAATCGGTGGAGCAATAGATTCTATCTTGAGGATTTGCAAGATTTTGTGTTAAGATTAGGGTATGTAGTGATGTGAATTCCTAATTGATTTTTTCATATACATTCCTGTTCGCTCTGTCATGAAGCAGTGTTCACATTGACATTTCTTATTGACTCGGAGTGGTAAGTCCTTGGGCTTTTCCTTAACTCATATTATTTTCTTCGAATGTCCATTGCATTGCCATTATCGCTGATATGGTCATTTGAGATTTGCTTATGTTAAAAGTTCTACATATGCAATCGCAAGCGTTTTACCTTAGAATGACTTCATTCTACATATTCCAATGTAAACTTTCAAGTAGTTGCTGCTTAATCCAACGTAGATTATCTCGTTTACGTCATATACTATTTCTACATAATATTTATCTGAACATGAAAGTTAATTTTTGCACTATGTTACAAAAGCTGATTAGATAAAACTTATTCGCCAAAAAAAATATTCAGGAATGTGACGCAGGCTTGCAGAAGCCTTACAGCCAATCAGCAAGTGGTCTTATTCAACTAAGGGTAGAGTTTTTTGTTCATAATGACTAATGCTTTCCACGTCATACGCTCTGTTTCCTGTTAGTTAACAACAAGCGTAATCTAATACTATGGGATTTGCCGGAGGTGATTTTGGCTTTTCAGTCAAGGCTTAATTGTGTAGTATCCGCGATCTCCTTGTGGCCAGACATCCCCTCTCTCCAGAATCAATTTCAAACAAATATTCCCATCTCCACATTCTTTCTCATCCATGATATAAATTCTGTTAATTGAATTATCCAGAAATTAATCTTTTTAAAAATCATTCATATCGGAAGGATTGCCATTTATAGAAGTTATTATATCAAATGGCTTGCGTCTTGATGGTTATCATTAGCCCCTTAGTTGACTTCAGGCTTCACAGAGAGGAAGGTACATCAAATTGAAAAAAGACGAGAGGATAGGGGGAACAGATGAGTGTTTCAAAGATGTAAGAGACAGACACAAAGGTAGAAAAAAGGTGAGGTGAGTACTATGGAAGTAGTCGAATATGACATAGAGTGGGGTCATGGTAGTTCGAAGTGAGAAGTCAACTGCCAGTTAATAGACTTTTTGCCGTATGTGTATACTTCGACCAGGGTGCCCCACGTGGAGGTAAGTCTGTCGCACACCCCACATTTATAGGAGTAGTTTTGACGGTCTTAAAGAGCAGTAAATAACTAGCAATAAACGTATTCTCTTACTGCGGTAGTTTGAGGTAGGTGATTCGCAAATCAATTGATGAATTCTTATGATGAACAAGTGTTCGGGTCACTAGGAAACAATAAATATAAAAAATTAATTAGTTATACGGTCAATCGATGGTGTAATAATGAGGCGACTTTATTCAAAGACACGAGCACGTATCCACAGTAATCGGATGACGCTGTGTTCTGAGGGACAAATCCTCTCCAGGGCAACTAGAAGCTTGAAGCAGTTTCTCCAGAACGCTCTCCTTCAAGCAAAGAAAATGTGAGAGCATTTACTTATTTCCTCAAGAGTAGTGAATTTTTTCACAAGTAATAAATCAATAATAGGCTTTAAGCAATTTAGTCCAGTGACCACTGAAAATCTACTGAAATATTGAAAAAAAATCGATGATACATGGTCCATAACCCAGTGACTGGAATATTGGACTTCAAGTCTGAAATCATCTATTTTTCGCCTGAACCTCAAAAACGTTATCTGAACCATTCCACTCTTTCTAGTTTTCTCATGCATTAGCAGGGCTAAACTTTGTCATGAACAGTCTCTTGTATTCTCATGATCTCAAACCCTGCTTTCGCTTTTCCAAGTGACCTCTGCATATCTAAACTTAAAGCTCCATGGAAGTGAGTCCCTTGTAAGGGATCCAACGACCTCGGGGTAGGTGAAAGTTTGAAATCCAGAAGCTATAATAGCTAGGTTTAAATAAGCAATGTTAAGGCACAACATGCAGATAAGGCAACTAATCATGAAATGGCATAACGGAAAAACGGTAATAAGGTCCAATGAACGTAAAAGCTAAAAGGAGTTAAAACAGACTTCATTTTTCACCGTGTTTGGGCAGTGGACAGTAAAAGATCGATCAACAGATAAAGCAAGCCATGCATATAGGTTTTTCAATGGACTGTTTCCTATTCGTTCAATCACATCACGCACAATACCAACGTCAATGTGTCAAAATATTCTGTCTTTTAACACTATTTAATCATCAGATGTTGAATGAAAGCTTTTATACAGCCCACCAAATGTTAGTTTTAATCTTAACAGACGTGGTTGCAAATTGGAGGTGACAAAATTTACTCCTTTCGTTTCCATCATATCCATAGTATAGCATAAAAGAATTAAGTGAAATCAACTTATATCGGTTAACAAAGAGGAGGGTCAAAAAGATACCGAGAGTAACTTAAGGGTGCAGTGAGGTTTAATTTATTGGATCCTTGGGTTTGGGTCGCAAAAGTGTTAATAAATGGAGATCTAATATTTCAAAAAAGGGAGATGTGTAATAGACTTACCTCCATGTGGTGCCCCCTGTGCAACGCAAACACATACAGCAAAAAGATCTATAAACCAACAGTTGACTTCTGACTTAAAACTACCATGACCCCACTATATGGCACATTCCCCCACTTTCACAGGGCTCACCTCACCTTCTCTCTACCTTTGTATCTGTCTCTTTTGCATTTGTGAATCCCTCTTTTGTTCCCCGCCCTCTGCTTTTAGTCACTTTGGTGTTCCTCCTCCTCTCTGTGAAGCCCAAAGTTAACTAAAGAGGCAATGATAACTATCATAAAGTCTGCCATTGGAAATGAAAATGAAAATCTCGTAGTTCTAAAAGCCGATTTTCAAGATTACAAAATGCTTGCACATGTCAATCATTACTTTTTGCTGACGTATTTTAATCGGGAAAGGTCAGTCCTGCCCTTTTGTTAAATTTCTACTCCCAACGGTAGTTTACATTCTTGAAATTTCAATTACGAAGAAGCTTATTTCAAATTTAAGTTTATTCACGAATAATTTTTGCCCTCAGTAGTAAAATTATTCTTAACATACAGATGGAAATTCGAGTTTAATGCGTGAAGTGCGTATTTCTAACACAATTAAACTGGACGCCCGAACATTCTGGAGATGCGGTTGTACGTGGAGACGACGTCTCAACTAATCGGTTCAATCACTAATCTTATTCTCCATGATCATAATTTCAATAAACCCTATGCTCATCAAACGTCTATCTCTCCTATTTTATGGAGGTAGCTCAACTAATTACGGGAGCTTAACCATACTAGGAATAAGTGAAGGCTTATTTTTGTAACAATTCGATACATAATTGGTGATCCTGAAGTGATCTACTGAAACTGGCAGGATCTGTTGACCCTGTGTGATCTACTCACCCGAGGTCCGACCTCTACCTGAATTTGAATATTTGATGATCCTCTACCTTCACCAACAATTATCACTGGAACTTTGACATGGCTCCTTCGCCCTCTCCCACTCGAACGGAATGCTTACTGAAATCGTTGTTAGCGTGAATGAATTTGACACTCCTTCTCCTAGTACAATTTCCGATAAGATTCCATCTGGGGGCCATGATGCTCAAACTGCCAAATTTTTTTGTAACGTCGCTGAGGCATCAGAAGACATCTGCTATAACCTACTCAAATGAGCTGTTATCAGTTGTTCATCTCTTTCTCAGGAGAATCACCTTCAATAACTTCTCTACCTGATCGATTTAGGAGTTCGCACTCCGTCTCAGCTCCTTCGACACAAGTGATCCTATGCCATCAAAGACATTCTAGACAAGGCCATTTTGAGACATTTAAAGATGAAATGTTACCTTGTAGGCATAATATAATGTTTGAGCAGTTGTCCTTGTCAAGGCATTCTAGACGAATTAACCGAGTGGTTCATTTCACTAGTCGCCTCCTCTAAGTAAACAACAAAAAATTATTAGCATAAAATTCTGGTAGACACTGGTTTCGAAGTCAGCATTTTCTCATATTCTGTAGAAGAACGCTTACTACAACAAAGCGAATTTACTCTACTAGCGACTAACTATTCCTTTTCTTTAATTTTTTCAAACTTTCATACATCTTTTGACTGGCTGCCACGCTTGTGAGTGG